ATCCTCACGCGTGTAGGGTTGCCCATGCGGCATTATTCCCTGGGGGAACAACCCCCAGACAACAGCGCCCGCGCGAACAATAGCGGGCACATATATTGTTTTTGGCCGCGATGGTTTCAGAATCCTTTCAAGATGGCTCATGATGGCTCCAAGACAACTCCAAGACAGCGCGAGCAGGAACCACTTCAAGAATTCCGAACAACAATTCTACATTACAACCGTCTTACGAATGTCCTCAGAAATCCTCACGCGTGTAGGGTTGCCCATGCGGCATTATTCCCTGGGAGGAAGAACCCCCAGAAAACAGCGCCCGTGCGAACAATAGCGGGCAAATATTTTGTTTTCGGCCGCGACTTTGTGTTCGAACCACTCAATTGAAGCTGTTGCAAACTTTTAAGACGAATGTGCGCGGCGCTGAGGCGAGATCTGCACTTTGAACAACACGAGCCCTCCATCCTTGAAACTGTTGCAAGCTTTTAAGACGAATGTGCGCGGCGCTAAGGCGAGAGCTGCACTTTGAGGAGGAGGAGAGGTTTCGGGAGCGGACGAGTTTCGGGACGAGTTTATTCACCGCGGAGAGCTCCAGGGGGGGGGAGAGCAAAACTAAAGACTTCCCGGGGTTATGCCTATACCCCCTATCGTTGCCCCCGGAGGTGCGTAGGTAGACAAGTACTCCACTGCTCGCAAAGTAGAGCTGAGGAGGGACGAGGAGGAGAAGGACAAGGACGAGGAGGAGGAGGAGGAGGAGGAGGAGGAGGCCTAGACTCCTGCCTGCGAGGGGGGAGCCCCTTGGGCCAGGGACGCCCTCGGCAGCCCCCGACGCGGGGAGAGGGGCGGTGGACCCCCCCCCGGGGGCGCGCGCGCGCGCGCGCGCCGCGCCGCGCCGCCCCGGCTGTCGAGAGGAGCGCGCCCGCGGGCTCGGAGGAGCGCGTGTCGGCGCGCTCTCCCGGCGAGGTGGCGCTCTCCCGGTGGGGTGGCGCGGCCCGCTCGGAGGGCGGCGCCGAGGCCGCAGAGGCACGGACCCAGAGGAGGAGGAGGAGGAGGAGGAGGAGGAGGAGGAGGAGAGGAGGAGGAGAGGAGAGGGGAGGAGGAGGAGGAGGAGGAGGAGGAGGGAGGAGAGAGAGGAGAGGAGGTAGGAGGAGGAGGAGAGAGAGGAGGAGGAGGAGGAGGAGGAGGGGGAGGAGGGGGAGGAGGAGGAGGAGGAGGAGGAGGAGGAGGAGGGGGACGAGGAGGAGGAGGACGAGGAGGAGGAGGAGGGAGGAGGAGGAGGGGAGGAGGAGGAGAGGAGGAGGAGGAGGAGGAGGGAGGAGGAGGAGGAGGAGGAGGAGGAGGAGGAGGAGGAGGAGGAGGAAGAGAGGAGAGGAGGGGGAGGAGGAGGAGGAGGAGGAGGAGGAGGAGGAGGAGGAGGAGAGAGGAGGAGCAGGAGGACGAGGAGGAGGAGGAGGAGGAGAGGAGGAGGAGGGAGGAGTGAGGAGGGGGAGGAGGAGGAGGAGGAGGAGGAGGAGAGGAGGAGGAGGAGGAGAGGAGGAGGAGGAGGAGGAGAGAGGAGGAGCAGGAGGACGAGGAGGAGGAGGAGGGAGGAGGAGGAGGAGGAGGGGAGGAGGGGAGAGGAGGAGGAGGGAGGGAGGGAGGAGGAGGAGAGAGGAGGAGGAGGAGGAGGAGGAGGAGGGAGGGAGGGAGGAGGGAGGAGGGAGGAGAGGAGGTGGAGGAGGGGGAGGAGGAGGAGGAGGAGGAGGAGGAGGGAGGAGGAGGGGAGGAGGAGCAGGAGGAGGAGGAGGAGGAGGAGGAGGAGGAGGAGGACGAGGAGGAGGAGGGAGGAGGCAGGAGGAGGAGGAGGAGGAGGAGGAGGAGGAGGAGGAGGAGGAGGAGCTGCAGGGCACGCTCCCCTCGGGGCACGCAACAAAAAACAGCAACAAATAGCCTGGCGAAGAACCCAACCCTTCCTCATCAAAGGACGTCTATAATCGGGACGGCTCACCGCACAAGGACGGGGCCCTCGGTGGAGCTCCCTGGGAGGCAGGAAACGTGTGAGGGGTGTGCCGAACTGGGCGCGGCGCCGCCATGCGAACGCACCCACTGTGGCCCTCGGTGGCGCTCCCTGGGGGCCACGAAACGTGTGAAAAGTGTGCCGAAATGGACGGGGCGACGCTATGCTAACGCACCCACTGGAGTCCTCGGTCGAGCTCCCTTGGGGAGGAGGAGGAGGAGGAGGAGGAGGAGGAGGAGGAGGAGGAGGAGGAGGAGGAGGAGGAGGAGGAGGAGAAGAGGAGCGGGAGGAGTGAGGACGCGGGGCGCTGTCTCTTCAAAACGAGGACCCAACTCACAGGAGGGTTGGGAAATAATCAGAAGGACATTTCTCGCGATTTTCGGCCTCTGGAGGCCCTCGCTGGGCCCCGGGGCCGTCAAATAACGGCTCGGGATGAGAGGCCAGTCCTGGGGAGAGGGTCGGGACCTCTGGGGACACGGTGCTTAAAAATTCAGGACGTCGCCTGTCTGGGAACTTGTCGGCGAGCGCGGGGGGGAGTGAGAAAGGGCGGGCCTTCTCAGACTTTCTAAGAAGCGTTCCGAGCCTTGCCCGAAGTCACATAAAACTTCTCAGAAGACCAAAGGGCTTCTGAGAAGCCCCGCTGCCTTCTGGGAGGGCCTCCTTCTTCTCAATTCGCCCCCTCACTCGCCGCCGACAAACAAAGAAATGGCGGCAGCAGCAGCAGCAGCAGCATCAGCAACAGCAGTTGTTCAGGATCGAAACTCCAGCGAAAAGATAAAGTTACGCGATTACCTCCCAGTGGCTCTTTGGGTCAACTTGCATACGGCGCAACATCGAACTAGGACCGGAGGCGGTCCGCTCTGAGGGCGGCTCCAATGCCGCGGGGGCACAAACACACACACACACACAATAGAAAAAACGGAGGCGGCAGCAGCAACCGTTCAGGATCCAGGCGCAAGCGAAAAAAGGAATAAGGCTCTGTTTCCCCGGCTCTGGGGCTCGCGGCGGGGTGGTAAATGTTGTCACGATCAAGAGTGTCGCCACTGTCCTCGTAGACCTCATCATGGGCGTCCTCCCTAAGTATCGTCAGCATCGTCATGAGTAGAACGACCAGGAAAATTATCGTCGTCGTCGTTGGCCAAATGTTTCTCCATGGAGTCCTCTGGGAACACCCGCTGTCGTCGGCAAGGCAACACTGGGAACATCCGCTGTCATCCGCTGTCCATCACAAACCCAAAAGGCGGAATCTGTAAGCACGTATGGTGCTCTCTGAGTTCTTGCAAGATTTTGGCCCGTTTGGGGCTGGGTGGAACTCCTTGGGGTCCTCTGAAAGACAGTCCTGGGGCTCCACGGGGATCCTCTGGAGCAATGTTTGGACAGTCCTGAAGCTTGGAGGCTCATCGCGAGCGAAAAGACGAGGTCTTCACAAAGATACGCGTTCACTTACGTCTCCAACCATTTCGGGTCCGCTGGAGACCTCTAGGAGGACGCTTGGAAGCGTGCTGGAATGCGTAGTTGATGAATTTGGACATTCTGGGAGGTTCTTGGAGCACTCCTGGGAGCCTGGCGGGGGTGTTAGAAGGCGTCCTGGGGGCCTCTAGGAGGCCTCTTGGAAACGTCTTGTTGGCGTGTTAGGGCTGTCTTGGAAGCATCGTGCGTGTCTGGGACGATGTAACTAGGACATCTGTCTTTGCGGTCTCGAGGGCCGCTTGGAAACCATCTTGGGCCAATTTGGGGCCATCCTCAAGGATAATGAGGACCCCTGTCGACCGCTGTGGGGCTCTCTCGGGCGACTCGGAGGCCCACAAGAGACCATCCGCAGGAGTCGGAAGCCGCTAGAAAGGCACAAGGGGAGTTCCTCCAAAACCTATGGTTCCCCTCAGGCTTTTGAAGGATGTTGGTCTCCCGAGGCCCTGTGGGAAGCCTCTTGCACACCTCTCGGGGGCATCTCGGGCTCGTCATGTTTGGGGCCATCTTAAGCTGTCTGGGCTGTCCAGGGCAGTGTGGAAGCTCCCGCGTGTTTGAAAACCTGCAAGAAACGAAGACCATTCAGTCAATTCCGAACGGTCTACCGGGGGCTTTGTACAACCTCGGTGGGGCTCTTTGGAAGTCTTGGAAGTTGTTCGGTGCCTTCTGGGGCCTATTGGGGTCTCCTGGGGCCTCGTGGAGACTCTAGGAGGCCTCGTGTGAACATGTTGGAGTCTCTTGGGGACCTCGCGGGGGCTTTTCGGCGGCCCCTTCTGGGCCTCGTGGGGGCCTCTCGGGACCTCTTGGGCTTTCATGAGGCATCTTGGGGGCTTTGGGGAGAGCGTCCTAGGGCCCTCTGGGAGCCTCTCGGGGGGGATCTCGAGGCCTCAGCAGCCCATTGCAGGCGAGAGGGCGAGAAGGAGCACCTGTAGATTTCCTGTTGGTGTTTGTGGGCTTCCGGCGTGTCGGACATGCCCAGGAGGGTCTCCTGGGGCCCCTTCTGGACTGCCTTGAGCGCCTCTTGGGGCGTCTGGAAAGTCTCTGGAGCCGTCTGCGATTCCTAGGCCCTGAGATCAGCCGTTGCAGAAAATTGCAACACCGCAAAAGAATCGCGACTGGAGCCCCGAACCCCATCTTCCTGCGCCACGTTTCGAGCAGAATCGATCTGCGAGGGACCTGGGGCCCAGGGCCAGAAATGGAGCGAAAACGCCCGTGGTGAAACAGTTGCAACGCAACGCCAGGATCTCAAGGGGGGCTGTGTTGGGGGCGACGTGGGGCCCTCGGGAGCCGCGTTGACGGCGGCCTGAGCGCTCTGGGGCCCGATCTGAGCCCCCCAGGAGTGGGCCGCGCCCCAGGAGGGTCTGCGCCGGAGGGCCTCCCGGGGCCCCTTTTGGGACTGCCTCGAGCGCCTCTTGAGGCGCCTGCAGGGGCTCCAGAACCGTCTGCGACCCCTGGAGGCCGCGCTGGAGGAGGAGGAGGAGGAGGAGGAGGAGGAGGAGGAGGAGGAGGAGGAGGAGGATCATGCTGGATCATGCTGCGATGCCACCCACGTGGCCAGTACAGTCGCTGTCACCGCTGTCGACGCCCCCGCCGCCCAACCCCTGCACACGAGCACCAGCGAGCACTGTCTGCCCCTGACCCTGGGCTCCGAGCTGGGCGGCGGTCTCCTCAAACTCATTCACCACACACAAGCGGGCGGCGGCGGCAGCGAAGGCAGCAGCCGCGTCCTCGCCCACGGGTGGGGCGTCCTCGCAGACCGACATCAGGTTGGCCAGCTCTCCGACAGGGCGATCGGAGGAGCGGGCCAGATACTCATCGAAACTGGGCCTCTCCACCAGTGGCCTATCGGCTCCGCCCACACCCCCAGAGCTTCCACGAGGGGGGGACGGGAGGGCTCTCGCAGCAGCGCCCAGCGCCGCCGCCTCACGCAAGGCCACTGGTGGGCCCCGATAAGACGGAAAAAACACCCTTTTTAATTCGCCTGAGGTTCTCGCCCCCCTTGCGGGTGGGGGGGGCGCACTCCTTCAGAAGCCACCGACCGTCTGTCGTGGCGGTGAAACCGCAACGCTGACAAAATGTCAGCCCAAACGCACACATCCTGGCAAGGCGGTGGCTGGGGTGAAGCTTCGCCGCACCACACCACGCCTCACCCGAGATCGCCTCGAAACCCTCACCAAACTCAGGGCTCAGACCCAGCATGCCGGGCGAATCCGACGGCGACGGGGTCGGGACGCGGCACGGGGTCGAGGCGAAAGTGAGCACTTGGCTCCTCGGGACAATCACCTTGCAGACGTTGCAACGCCAGCGACCAGCGAACGGGCGAAGCTTGTGCGCACTCTCGCCGATCGCCTGGACAAACTTAGTGAGCTTGCGGGCCTTGGGCGCTGGCGGGGCTCTGACCCCTTCCCAAGGTTCAACCTCGAGCGCCAGCATCATAGCCCTTCTGGCCCTCCTGCGCACCAGTGCCGCCGTCGTGTCCCACAGGTCGGTCCGAGGGGGAGGGCCACCACGCACCACTCCCAGGACCACTGGGCCACCACCCCCGCATAGGCGTCGGCACTGGCGTTGCCCTGGCACATAAAAATATCAAAAAGGGAGGTTACAGACTGCACATTTTCCTCCGAGTGGGAGGGCGCCCAGGAAAGCGAAACCTCACCAGGGCCACGGGAGCGGAGAGCCCGAGCAGCACGAACCCACAAGTCCCCGTTCGGGCCCCGAGGGGAGGAGGCACGGCCACCGTGCCAATCAGAAATCAAACTCTTGCAGTCGGTAACATAGCATATCGGACCGTGCGTGTGCTCCAGTGCGAGACAGAAGGCCTGCAGCTCTGCTCTAGGAACCGTTTGGCGACGGCCTGACAAAACCTGTCCTACACCACACTGAGGCACCCAAGAGTTCGGCGCTGAGGGGTCCTGGCTCATCATCACCACGGCAGACCCACATCGCCTACGTCTGGGGTCCGCGCTGAACTCGCCCCCAGATCCGTCACCAAAGATAAACGCAGGGGGGCCTCCAGGCTCCGAGCAAAAATCGTCCAGACGGCCATCGCCCAGAAGGACCTCCTGGGCCGTTTCCGCAGTCTCAACAAACCTGGGCACCGTGAGGTCCTTCGAGGGCACTCCCCTAAGCCACAAGGCAGGCTGGGCCTCAAAGCCCGCGAGGGCCTGGGGGGCCAAAAAATCCGTTTTTGAAAAGTCATCGTGTCCGCAGTTGGCTGGGCATAGCCAAATGCGATGAACTAAAGTCTCAGGCTGCTCCCTGCATCTGGGGCACAGCGGCTGGCAGGAATACCCTGCAGCTCTCTGCCGCTCACGAGTCCACTGGCCCCCCGAGATGACGGCAATGTCTGCGGCCCACTCGTCGAACTTGGACCTGGCAGCCAGGCGGTTCAGCTCAATCTGCACCGTCGTCATGTCCGCACCAGCTGCCAGATCCTCACCTGCTTCGTGGTGGGCCGCTTCCTTCCACTGCAGCTGGACACAATCATCCATGAAGGCGCCAAGCATGTCTTCAAAATGCGAAGGCACCGCTGAAGAGAACTGCTCGTCGCCAAAAGCAGGAAACAGCCAATCATCGATGGTTCCATCAGCCAATGGGCGCGACCAGACACCGGGGCTCTGTGGATCCCAGCCAACCTGCAAGAGCGTGGCCTGCACCGCGGCGATGGGGCCGCGCACATCCTTCCACTTCACCACAAGTCTCTCAGCAGAGCCACGCCGTAGCTTCGCCAGAGTGATCGGCCACATCTTGCGCATGCGAGGATGGAGCATCGGCTGGGAGAGCCACAGCGCAATCCACTCCTTGATCACCTGCTTCCTCAGATCAATGCCAGGATCAGAAAGCCCAAACACCGCTTGCAATACAGAATTCAAGCACCCGCCACGCTTCGTCCCAGCCACACTCGCAGCAGCATCACGCCTCAGAGCCAAGAGAGAAGAAGGAGGAGTGCCCATAATCTGATGGCCAAAGACTGCAGCAGGTAACACTCCAGTGCTGAAGAGCTTCTTGGTGATGAACCTCGTCTTAGGTAGTTGCCTCAAACGCATAACTCTTTGCTGCCTCCGCCGAGCCTGTGCACGTCGTTTCATCATCCGCGGTGCCATGCGCCGACGCCCTGCAGCAGCGTCAGAGCCCAAGTCAACAGTTGAGCGCACGAACTGAACTGGGATACCTTTACGAGCCAGCCGTCTTTGTAACTCCTCGCCAATCTCGTCAGCGCTGGCAACAAGCTTCGTTTTGTCAGAAATCTTCAGCCTGAGCTTCTTGAGCCCCATGGCCATGGCGTCGGCAGAAGCATCCAATTATCAATCACCTGCTGCTTTTTCCCCTCAGCACGACCGACGATATCATCAATATAGCTCCACAATCCAGTCGGGGGACACGCACGGTGAACCTCCTCCAGAAGCTGATGGAGCATAACCTTGGCGAGCGGCACACCATGTCCAGAGCCAGCGACGATCGAACGTGAAATCACCAAGGCGTCCGATATCATCTTGCCCTTCTTCAGAAGTCTGGGAGAAGAGTAAAGGCCCACTTCCAATAAAAGGATGATAGCTGGAAATCCAATATTCAAGCCTGCCTGCATCAGCAACACAAAGGACACAGAGTCATAGAACTTGGTCAGATCCAAGAACAGTGTCGCATGCTCAAAAGACAGGGCATTGGCTCCCTCATCCATCACGGCTCTGATCAATGCCGCTCTGAGTGCTGAAGAACCAGCAATTGCAGTGCCCCAAAAAGCAGATTGGGCAGCTGACCATTCACCTGAGTGCTTCGCGCGCACCTTGGACCAAATTTTGTGCGGCGTCGGGACAAGCCCCAACACTCTGTTGCCTCCAGCTTCCTTGGGGATAGCAGCACCCAGGACCGAGCTGAGGGCCGACGGCCAGGCGCCAGCCTGCTCAATACTGTTCAATACATTCACAAGACACTGCCTTGCCACCAAGGGCTGCCGCTGAATATCCACGGGGTTCAGCACGTCCACGCCCTTCGCCTTCTTCGCTGGTAGCGAGGGCAGCACAGCATCCACGTCCATGATGGCGATGGCAGGAAGTGGGTTGTCTCGCGCAGCTGAGAGGCACTGGTCCATCATATACAAAATATCAGCAGGCTGGTCGACAGGATCATGCCACATCACATTCCATTCAGAAGCCGAAGTCTGAAGCATCGTCTGCTTGTCCGTGGCGATGGCACCTGACGCATCGCATCCCTCCCACTCCAAGGGCGGGGCCTGCTTCACATGCCGATGTACAGCACCAGGCTTGGATGACCAGGTATCCTTAACCCACTTGACAAAGGACGAGCGCGAAGCCAACAAGGCCCGTGAAGTCGCCGAGTCCGCCCACCTACGAGTGGTATCCACCAGAGAAGTAAGCTGGCCAACAGGAACACGATCCAAGTCAGCGGCCATTGCTTTCCACAAGTCGATCTGCTGCGCGGTGGACTTCTTGCCAAAGTACTCGACCGTCTTGTCATCAGGCAAGGCTCCAATCCTGGCCTGTACTTCCCGCGCACAATAGGCAGCCTGATCAGGATCAGCCCCATTCACACGAAGGGCAGCATGCCGAAATAACAAAGTGCTGACCACACCCCACCACTCAGCCTGCTCGTTCTGCATGTGAGCACGCCCTGGCGAGGGGGTGACCTTGGCCCAATAGTAAGCAGGGCCGCGCGCCCGACCTGAGAACTGCGCCCAAGTGCTGGGCTCGACCTGCCCATGAATCAAAGTGGCACGCTCCAATGTAGAAATCCAAGCAGAGTAAGACTCATCCAGCCGCGAACGCTCCTCAGACTGCCATTCAAAGACAAAGTGCTGACTGCGGGCATAAGCTGCAACTTTGCCGCGGGCACCCTCTGGCTGGTCACCAAACGGCTGGGGGAGGCCCTCCCAATGCACCTGTGTCTGAGCTTCAAACCAAGTATCCTCAGGAATGGCAAAAGAAACTGTGGACTCTGGCGGAGGTGCAGGCGGCGCCAGCTCGTCGAAGCCCTCCTGGAACTCGATAGGGAGCGCCTGCATACGCCTCTGCCTCTGCTCCTCTCTCCTTCTGGACCGCTTGCTCTCAGGGTCAGGAACTGCAGCAGGTCTGTCCCGAACGGGAAGAGGCTTGGGCACTGCCAAATGCTTATACCATCGCTGAGATCGGGCGGCCTTCACAGTAACCACCACTCCACAATGTGTCTTCCATGGCACTCGCAACTCAGCTCGAAGCGTCAACTCAGGACAGCCCACACTGGCAATACCATAATCATACATGCGCCCAGGCCCTTTGTCGCAGGTCGCCCGGCAAGGCGGCGCCACCGCGACTGCTCCGAGCTTCTGGGGCCAGCCAGTACCTCGCAAGGCCTCGGGCTCGATGTTCCAGTCCGCCATGACCAGCCAGGGATCCGCGAGCGCACGCGTGAAAGACCCGAGCGCCACCAGCACATCATGGTTCCAGCCCTTCACACCGAGGCCTGGCTGGAGGTAGGCAGCGATCAAGATCAGGTTGCCGCCCTTGGTGTGAATCACCGTCGGCGCGAAGCCACGGCAAGGGTCAAGGCGCCCCGCAGCGAGCGCCGCACGTCGAGCACTCTCAAAGCTCGACGTCGCCATATGTTTCTTTGCCAGAATCCACTCACCACCAGACAAGCCAGCCTCCGACTTGCCCGAGGGGCGGGCGGCCGTGTAAGCCAGCCGCCAGCCGTCCTTGTCGATCGCCTGGCAGATGCCTGGCATGTCCTTTTCACCTTTGTGCGTCTCAACGAGGGCCACAATGCTGCGCTCCTGCTCCTGAGCAATGAACCGCGCAGCCTGTGGGCCCCACTCCGTAATGTTGCCATCAGACTCTGAATGAGGTACTCCTGCAGCTTCCCCCCTGCAGGGCGGGGAGCAAGTGATGCTACACGCGGCCTGCACCAGCACCAGCAGCAGCAGCGTCCTTGCCTGCACCCGCCTTGCCGCCTTTGCCAGCGCCAGCAGCCTTGCAGACCGCGGCCGCGCGCGCCTGAGACTGGGCGCCGCTCTTGATGCGCTCCAGCATGGCCTTCTGGTCGCCCTCCTGCACCACGACCTTCGCCTTGCTGGGCCCAGCAGCGGCGGCCGCGGCGCCAGGCGCCGCAGCGGCACCTGAGCCAGCCGCTGGCGCGCCCTCGGCGCTGCCGCCAGCCACCGCCTCGCCGTCGGCGCCGCGCTTGCGCCGCTTGGCCGCCGCCGCCGTGTGCGCCGACCTCGTGCGCTCCAGCAGATCCTGGAACTCCTTCTGCTTGGCGTCGACCAGCTGGGTGACCTCCTCCAGCTGCTTCTGAAACTCCTCCAGCGCCTTCCTGTCGGACTCCTCCAGCTCCTCGAGGCACTCGAACAGCCCAGGGTCCAGGACGAAGCCCGACTGCTTGGTGGCCGCCTCGGGCGGGTTCGCCGCCTCCTGCACCTCCAAGCGATACAGATCGGCAGCCAAGACAGCGTCCGCCGCCTCGTCGAACTTGGCCTGGTCCCTCTCGAGCTGGAGGCGGGACTGCTCCAGCTTCGTGGCGGCCTTCTCCAGGGCCTCCTGCTTGCGGGAGCAATCCGCCGTAGCCTCCTTGAGCAGCGCGTGCTGGGGCTTGGGCGGCGGCGCAAGGACCGCCGCCAGCTTCTGGGACGCCAGGGTGCTGAACTCCGTCGCCAGGCGCGCAGCATCTGGGTCCCCATCGAGCCCTGCACCAGCGAGAGCCTTCGACAGGTAGTCCCCGAAGTTGGCGAGAGACGGCAGGGACTTCGCATGGTCGTGCCGCCCACCGCCCGAGGACCACGGCGCCCACCACGTGCCGCTCGTCGTCGTACTCCAGCCAGGCTGGGGGGTGTCGCATACCGTGCACACCCCTTTCTGCTTCTTGAGCCTCCAGTTCCACGCCCAATTGCCACACTGCACGCAAACGGAGAAGCCCTGCTTGCCATACTGGACCATCCGCTCCAGCAGGAGCTCACAAAGTATGCTCCGACAGGAGCTCACAAAATCACTTCAGACTGGCTCGGGAAACAGAGCAATCCCAGTTTGGCACGGAAGCGCGGAGCCCCCAAGTGCATCAGCCTTGAGCCAAAATGGCTACGGAAGGAGGAGGAGGAGGAGGAGGAGCAGGAGGAGGAGGAGGAGGAGGAGGAGGAGGAGGAGGAGGAGTGGCGACTTGGGGCCCTCCCGAGCCGCCTCGACGGCGGTCTGAGAGCTCTGGGGGCCGATCTGAGCCCCCCCCCCAGGAGCGGACCGCGCCCCGTGCCTCCCGCCATGGCGTGGTCGTGGTTCAAGCCACGGGGGCGCAGGGCCCCGTCCCCCATTCCAGGTAGGCGTGTACAACTGACATGCGTACACACATACATACATACACACATACGCGCATGCATGCATGCATGCATGCATGCATGCATACGTACATACACATACATGCACACATGCATGCATGCATGCATGTATGCATGCATACATGCATACACGCATACGTCCGTGCACACACACACATGCCTGCCAGCCTACCTATCGACATACCTACATACCTACATACATACATACATACATACCTACGAACATACATACACACATACATACATACATACATACATACATTCACACACACATACACATATATACATACACACATACATGCATGCATACATCAACACGTTCATATATAAATGTATACATACATGCATGCATACATACACACATGCGTACATATATTCACGCGTACGTACGCACACACGTACGTACGTGTGTGCACACATGCATACATACATACACACGTATGGACATACGTAGGTAGATACAAACAAACGTACAATCACACATACCTACACACATACATACATACATACATACATACATACATACATCAATACATACATACATACATACATACATACATACATACGTACGTACATACATACATACATACATACATACACACACACATACATACACACAACACTACATACATACATACATACATGCATGCATACATACATACACACATGCATACATACATACAAACATACATGCATACGTACATGCATACATGCATACATGCATGCATGCATGCATACACACATGCACATACACACATATACGTACACACGTACGTACAGACATACATCCATACATGCAAACATTCGTCCGTACACATACACCTACACACATGCGTGGAGGCATACATACGCGCATTCACACCTGCATACCTGCATACATACATACACACATGCATGCGTGCATACATACATACGCACGTACATTGATACATACATACACGCGTACGTACGTACATACGTAAGTACGTGTCTGCATACAGACATGCATGCACGCACATACATACACACATACGTACATGCATACATGCATCCATACAATCAAACGTCCGTACACACATATGCGTACACACATACATACATACATACACACATACATACATACATACATACATACATACATACATGCACATACATACATACATACATACACACGTGTATATGCATACGCACATAAATATACAGACATACGCATTTGCATGCACGCACGCATACATACCTACATACAAACAAACGTCCGTGAATACATACGTACATACATACATACATACATGCATACATTCACACATCCATGCATGCACACATACATAATTACGTGCATTCATACATACATGCGCGCGTACGTACGTGCATGAGTACGTACGTGTGTGCATACATACATACATACATACATACATACATACATACAGACAGACAGACAGACAGACAGACAGACATACATACACACGCATACATACATACATATACCCATGCAAACGTACATGTTTACATCTATAAATAAATACATACATACATACGTAAACACATACATACATACAAACGCACGCACATACGTACATACATACATACATGCATACATACAAACGTCCGTACACACCTACATACATACATGCATGCATGCATGCATACATACATACATCCATCCACACATACATACGTACATGCATACGTACATACATACATACATACATACATACATACGTGCGTACGTAAATACGTGCGTACGTATGTATACACATACCTACATACTTACATACATACATACATACATACATACATACCTGACAGCCTACAGACAGACAGGCAGGCAGGCAGGCAGGCAGGCAGGCAGGCAGACATATATATATATATATATATACACAAGTGGCACGTGTGTGCCCAGGCTCATACAAAAAAAAACTGAAGGGGCGTTTGAAGCAGGAGTGAAATGCAACATCGAAGTCGCACTCGAGCGCAAGTGGGGTTGCCACACCTTGCGATGTGTGTACCAGGACCCCCCAGGAAGCCTCAGGAGGCCCGACTTGGATACCAGAAGAGGCTCCAGGAGGCCCCAGGATTGTGAGTGTTGTGCGTGTGTGTGTGTGTGTGTGATGTATGCTTTGTGTGGTGCGTGCTTTTTGTGTGTTGTAGTGTGTGTGTGTGTGTGTTATGTTTGTCTAGCGTGTGATGTGTTGGGCGTGATTTGTGTCTCTGTGTGCATGTAGTTCTGAAGCCCCAGGAGGCCCCAGGAAGCCCCAGGCGGCCTCAGGAGGCCCCAGGAGACCCCAGGAGGCTTCAGGAGGCCCCAAGAGGCTCCAGGAGGCCGCAGGAGGCCCCAGGAGGCCCCAGGAGGTTTCAGGAGACCCCCAGGAGGCTCCGAGGCGGGGTCTGGGGTGCCAGAAGGTTCAGAAAGCCCCAGGAGGCCCCAGGAGGTTCCAGGAGGCCCCCAGGAGGCTCCGAGGCGGGGTCTGGGGCAAGATTTTGGAAGGATTTTTCAAGCGAAACCGCCATTCCCTGAGAATCGGGGTCACAATTATTGAAATTACAATATGTGTTTGAAGGTTTTATGTTAAAATGTTGAAATTCCCATGTGTTTTTGGACCCTGACGTCACGATCTGCGTGAGGGGTGCCACCGATGTTTCAGATGTTCGAGGATGTCCCGAGCGAAACGCCCAGAAAATTCGCAGACGCGTGCGCATTAATCGCCTCTGAGCTCTACTCCCTCGGAGAGGTGCGTATGAGAATACATATATATATATATATATATATATATATATATGTGTGTGTGTGTGGATATGTCTATGTATATGTCTATGTCCATGTCTATGGATGCGCCCCCGTGCCCCTGTTCACGGAGTGAGCGTGTCTTCGGATCCTGTGTCTAGTCCCCTGAGCCTCAGCCCTCACTCCTGAGGAGTTTCTTGCGGGCCCGGACCCCGAATTCCTAAACCTCTTGGAGCTTCCCGCGTGCCCGATGGGCTCCCCCGCATCTTCTCGCGTGATTTTGTAGGGCCCGAGAGGGCCCCAAGACGGGCCAAGACGGTCCCAAGAGGCCGTTTCAGGCGGTCTAGGGCCTCGAGTCGCCGAAAGATCGCCCGAGTCCAAGATGGCCTCCAGACGGCCCAATAGGCCTCCAAGTCGCTCCAAGAGGCCTCCAAGAGCACTCCTAAGAGCACCCCAGGTGGCAAAATTCATTGAGTGCCTATGTGTTGTTTGAAAGATTATGGCGTTCTCACCTATTTGGCTCCCCGACGCTCCAAGACGGCCCAAGAATCCCGCAAGAGCGCCGCAAGCCGGCCCACGAGGCCTCCAATAGGGCCCCAAAACGGTCCAAGAGGGCCCCAAGACGGTTTCAAAGGCTTCCTGGACGGCCTAAGAGGCCACCCAAGACGGCTCCAAGAGGGGGCCCTGACTGGGGACCCGAACGGACATTTCCAGCCCTCAGCCCCGAGAGGCCCCCAGGAGGCTCCAAGAGGCCCCCAAGAGGCCCCCAGAGGTCTTCAAAAAGCCCCCAGGGAAGCCCCAAGAGGCCCCCAGGCCGCTCCAAGGAGGCCCCCAAGAGGCCCACAAGAGGCCCCGAAATTGCCCCCAGAAGGCCCCCGAGAGCACTCCGAAGAGACCCCAAGTAGCATCCCTGAGGACTCTGAACCACAATCCAAGCACGGCGGCGGGATGGGCCGAAGTGCACGCGCTGCTGCAAGTCGGCAATGAACTGTCCCAGCAGCCGCGAAGAAGAGCGCGCGGCCTCTTTCCGAGAGCGGGAAGCGCTGCGCTCTGCGAGCGCGGCTTCCGAAAATCCTCCGCACCCGCCGTTCGGCCGCGCACGCGCTCTCTGAACACGACTGCGCTGCTTCTGGCACGACACGTCAGCGCGACCATGGCCGTGGTCAGTGCGACTCGCCCATGGCCCATGGCCTCTGTCTTCGACATCGCTGCACACCGCGTCCTTCCGCCCTCCGCCATCCGCCCTCCTCCTCATCCTCCTCATCCTCCTCATCATCGACACCACCACCACCACAACCATCATCATCAGCACCAGCACCAGCACCATCATCATCAGTATCACCACCACCATCATCAGCAGCAGCATTAGCATCAACATCAGCATCATCAGCATGATCATCCTCACCACCACCATCAACAGCATCAGCATCAGCATCAGCATCAGCATCAGCATCATCATCATCATCATCATCATCAGCAGCAGCAGCAGCAGCAGCACCATCATCACCATCATCATCATCATCCTCATACTCAGCCTCATCATTATCCCCATCCTCATCCTCATCCTCAACAGCATAATCATCAGCATGACCATTATCATGATCATAATCATGATGACCAGCATCATCCTCACCATCATCATCCTCATCATCACCATCATCAGCACCATCACCATAAGCATCATCAAAATCATCATCATGACCCTCATCATCATCAGCATCGCCATCATCATCGTCATTATCATCACCATCATCAGCATCATCATGTTCATGTTCATCTCCATCTGCATCATCGTGGTCATGATCAGCGTCAGCATCAGCATCATATTTATCACCATTACCCTAACCATTATCATCACTACCAACAACAATCAGAACGTCGCTGCAACGATGAGGCGCATCATCATAGTCATCATCATCATCATCATCATCATCATCATCATCATCATCATCATCAACATCACCATCATCATGATCACCAGCACCATCACTATCATCATCATCAGCAGCAGCATCATCATCATCATAATCATCATCAGCATTACTGGTGAGCGCTCCTCACGACCACCGTGCTCTTGTGATCGGCGATACTTCTTGGCATGGCATGTGCGCCGATGGCTGGGGCCAGGGAGCGGATCGAAAGAAGCGGGGGCGATGAAAGTTGAGAGACCCCACGGTCCCCAGACATGACGCCCCACCTTTCTCCCTGGTCCTCCATGGCGTTGTCCCTAACGATGTCTCCCTGAGACTATCCCCTGAGCCGACACCCCTTGGGCCAATCCGCCATGAACTCATCCCCGTCCCCGGCGGTTTTCGGGCCATGACTCGACCCTCTGGCAGCCGTTCGGGACGATCTGGGCAGGCCCAGGACGCTCTCGGCGAGGCCCAGCTGCTGAAGAGCATCCCGAAGCAATAAAACCGCCGAGCACCGACGAACACTTTCCGAGTCCGCGGGCGCCAAGTGGTCCAAGACAGTCATGCGCCGGTCAGCAAACGGTGGGGTGCACCAGAGGCGACTTGAAGCACGAAGGCGAAAAAGAAAATAGCGAGAGAGGGAGAGAAAAAAGCCGCGAACATCACGGGTGCGTTGGCAAGCGGTGAGACAAGAAGTGGCGCGGCTGTGAAACAATGACGCGCCGTACAAAACACGGCAACAATCCACGGGCACGGGATGCATCAAATATCTCTTCACGCAACGCCCACTAACCAAAAGAGCCCGAAAAAGTGGACGACCCGGGCGAGCAACGGCAGCAGGGGGCAGAGGAGGGAACGACACCTGGAGGACCGACGAAAAGGCGAGGACCGAACGCTACAAGCTTGGTACTTGGAGTCCGCCCAGCGAAGAGGAGGAGGAGGAGGAGGAGGAGGCCGAACGTCACAAAAAAAACTCTACACGAAATCGCCGACAAGGCCCCGCAATGCATGAGCCACACCCGCCGTTTCGGGATCAGAGGGCACCCATCCGAGGGCATCCATCCGAGGCACGAGCGCACCCTCCTCCCTCCTCCCTCCTCCCCCTGCCTCCTCTCCTCCACCCGTCTCCGCCTACCCCCACCCTCGCTGCTCCCTCCTCCCTCCCCCTCCCCCATTTTTCTCCTCCCTCCGTCTCCGTTTCCTCCCTCCTCCTCCTCCTCCTCCTCCTCCTCCTCCTCCTCCTCTCCTCCCTCCTCCTCCTCCCTCTCCTCCTCCTCCTCCTCCTCCTTCTCCTCCCTCCCTCCCTCCCTCCCTCCCTCCTCCTCCCTCCCTCCTCCTTCCTCCCTCCTCCCTCCCTCCCTCCCCTCTCCCTCCTCCCTCCTCCCCCCTCCCCTCTCCTTTCCTCCCTCCCTCCTCCCTTCTCCCTCCGCAATAACACAATATGAATACTACTCTGCTCTGTCCCCTGGCGACGTCCGGGAAATATTCGGCACCCCTCCGCGTTATGGCTTTTTACACACAGGATTCCCAGGAAACGGTTTTCGCTTGGGTCGTTGTTTTTTCAAAATGCTGCTTTCTCTGAAGCGCTGGCCTCATTCTCGGGCTACCGCTTTTTCCGTATCGTGCTCCCGCTGCAGCGCTGGCCTCATTTCCGCGCTCCCGCTGGCGTCATTACTTCCCGCGCCATGACACGGCATGGTTTTCGGTCCTGCCACATATGCCCCCAAATCTGGAAAATGCCCAGAAAAAAAAACATCAGAAATGATTCCACATTCGGTGTCGATTCGTTGATTTCTGGGGTCGCAGAAGCCCCCCGTACTTTGGGGCGTCGCCACGCCATGTTGTGTCAGGTTGCGCGTCCTCCGAATCGTGCTCCCGCTGCACCGCTGGCCTCATTTCCGCGCTTCCGCCCGAATCGTGCTCCCGCTGCAGCGCTGGCGTCATTACTTCCAGCGCCATGCCACATCATGGTTTTCGGTCCTCCCAAACAGATAAACTCTAAAATCTAGAAAATGGCCCTCCGAAGGAACCATCGGAAGTGATTACGAATTCGGTGTCGATTCGTTGATTTTTTGGGCCGCAGAGGCCCCCCACACACTTTGGGGCGTCGCCACGCCATGCTATGTCAGGCTACGCGTTGATCTTCAACACTACGCAATGCCATATAATGCTATGCCCTGCAAGGACATCCGACTGTGCGAATAGAGAGGAGATCTACGCTATGGTACGGCACATCGACAAAATTTTGCACCACCTGGCGCTGACAATAAATCGCATCGCTGTTATATCAATCGTGTGTTCCCCCCCCCACTCCCCCCCGATCTTAATATTGGGTTCGGTCCGGGCTGGTCGAAACAGCTCAGTGGTGCAACATTTTGTCGGGAGCCCCCGGGCGGAACAGGGGCTCTTCGCCATGCACCCAATATTAAGATTGGGGGGAAGGGTGGGGGGCAAGAGCAATGCAGTACAGGTTCCAATGCACAGAAAAAGTGGTACAACATTTTGTCGATGTACGATAAGGGATGGGAGGGGGGTAGGACGTTGGGTATGACGCGAGCGCACCCAGCTTGCCTCTCCCCCCCTCCCTCCCTGCCTCCCTGCCTCCCTCCCCTCTCCCTTCCATTCCTCCCTCCCTCCAACTCCCGAAAACCCCAGAAAAAACCCCAAAAAAACCCGAAAACCACCGAAAACCACCGAAAACCACCGAAAACCACCGAAAACCACCGAAAACCCACCGAAAACTCCTGAGACCTTCCGAAAACCCTTGAAAACCGTTGAAAACTCTCGAAAACTTCCGAAAACCCCCGAAAACCACCGAAAACTCTCGAGCGAGAACCTCCGAAAACTAGTGAAAACCTCCGGAAACCACCGAAAACCATCGAAGACCCATGAAACCTCATGAAAACCCCCGAAAACCACCGAAAACTCCCGAAAACCCTCGAAGACTCCTGAAAAACCCTCGAAAACCTCGTGCGACCGCGCGTCGCGCGGCCGCCGGCACCCGCGGCGCGCCCAGGGCGCTGCTAGGCCGCCACCTCCGCCCGCGCGGCGGGCACCGCGCCGGGGAGCGGGCCGAGACCGGCGGAGACCTCGATGCCCTCGGCGAGGCGCTCCTCGAGACTTCTGGGGGCTTCTCGAGGCTTTTGGGGGTTGGAGAGGCGTGGCGTGCTCCCCGTCCTCCCCCGCCCCTGTTCCTCCTCGCCATCATCCTCCCCATCAGCATCAGGATCACCATCATCAGCAGCAGCATCCCCATCGTCATCTGAATCGTCATCATCAGCATCATCGTCACCCGCATCATCATCATCATCATCATCATCATCATCATCATCATCATCATCATCATCATCATCATCATCATCATCATCATCATCATCATCATCACATCAGCATCAGCATCAGCATCAGCATCAGCATCATCATCAGCAGCGCAGCAGCAGCATCATCATCAGCATCAGCATCATCATCATCATCATCAGCAGCAGCATCAGCATCAGCATCAGCATCAGCATCATCATCATCATCATCATCATCATCATCATCATCATCATCATCATCATCATCAATATCATCATTAACCTGATCATCATCATCATCATCCTCCTCGTCGTCGTTGTCGTCGTCGTTTTCGTCGTCGTCGCCGTCGACGGCATCATCAGCATCATCCTTCGTTCTCCTCCTCATCCCTTCTCCTCCTCCTCCGCCTCCTCCTTCTCCCCCCCCCGAACGCTGCCTTCGGCGAGCCGCTCCTGGGGGGGCAGCGATAGGGGCGGACAGGCTCACGGTTTTGAGAGATTGAGGTTTTGAGGGTGAGGGTTGAGGTTTGCGGTGGGCATTATCGTCGACCTCCTCCTCGTCCTCGTCCTCCTCGTCCTCCTCGTCCTCCTCGTCCTCCTCCTCCTCCTCCCTCCTCCTCCTCCTCCTCCTCCCCTCCTCCTCCTCCTCCTCCTCCTCCTCCTCCTCCTCCTCCTCCTCCTCCTCCCTCCTCCTCCTCCTCCTCCTCCTCCTCCTCCTCCTCCTCCTCCCCCTCCTCCCCCTCCTCCTCCTCCTCCTCCTCTCCGCCTCCTCCTCCTCCTCCTCCTCCTCCTCCTCCTCCTCCTCCTCCTCCTCCTCCTCCTCCTCCTCCTCCTCCTCCTCCTCCTCCTCCTCCTCCTCTCTCCTCCTCCCTCCTCCTCCTCCTCCTCTCCTCCTCCTCCTCCCTCCCCTCCTCCCCCTCCCCCTCCCCCTCCCCCTCCCCTCCCCCTCCCCTCCCCCTCTCCCCTCCTCCTCCTCCTCCTCCCCTCTCCCTCCTCCTCCTCCTCCTCCTCCTCCTCCTCCTCCTCCTCCTCCTCCTCCTCCTCCTCCTCCTCCTCCTCCTCCTCCTCCCCCTCCTCCTCCTCGTTGATCCCCGAGGCTCCACGATGCGGCTGGCCAGCTTCCGGACGAAGCGCTGGGCGAAGGAGGCCGCGCCCTCCCCGAGGGCGGGCAGCAGCCCCGAGGCCAGGGGCTGCAGCTGCCGCAGCGCCTCGGTGGGGGCGCGTGTGCCTCGATGCACAAGGACATGCTGGAGCTAGGTGCCCTCCTTGGAGGCGTGCGTCCGGCCCAAACATATATGGGCGGCGAGCGAGGCGGGGAAGAGAGAAGGAGAAGGCCTTCTCAGAAGGCGGCGGGACTTCTCAGAAGCCGTCGCGCCTTCTGAGAAGTTCCCTGTCTTCGGGAAAAGCGTCGAAAACTTCCCAGAAGACGAGGGGCTTTTCGAGCCTTCTGAGAAGGCCCGCCCCTTCTCACTTCCCCCCCTGGCCCGCGGCCGAATCTGGTATAACCATATTGTAGTATATCGTTTCCCGAGCGGTATGACCAGAACGCTCCCGCCACGGATCGTGCACTATAAGATTTCTCGGCGCGCGCGTCGCCCCTGAGGGACGACGCACACATAGTAGTAGCATGTCGGCGTGACGCCGACAAGGGGCAGGGGGATGGGGGAAGGCTCGGGGAGGGAGGCGGGCCGCGTCGCGGAGCCCCCCTCGGTGCTTGCAGTTCCTCCGCTGGGATGCGTGCGTCGTGCGGGCAGGCAGGACCCGGACCTCCGACGATGCGCTGCTCTCAGGCCAGGGGCCGCACCGATGCCGCTGCTCCCCAGACCTTCCCGGGGGTGCGAATCCAGTGGCTCGCCATCGCTCGGACGTCCACTCCCTGTGCTTTGTTTGGTTTCGTGCGTGGTTTTTTCGTCAAATGATCAAGGATGCTCCTCGATGGTCCTCGCCGAAGGAAAGATGCACACGTCCGAGCGATGCCAAGGTGGTGGCGACGAGGGCCTCCCAGGAGACCGCAGAAGGCGAAAACCTGCTCTTCCTCCCGAATCGTGCTTTCACGGTCCCTGGGCCCAGCCAGGGCCCCCGGAGGCCGAACGTGGCCCAGAACCTCCCGTCGTGACTTTTTACACCGACGCGATCACGTTTGTGTATCGGCCCAGACTAAAACAGGGCTAGGATCGGGATAAATCGCTCCAGAGCGTTTCGGAGCGCTCTCAGAGCGTTCCGGAACGCTCTGGAGCGGCCGCGGCGCCCAATACATCCTCCAAACCCGCCGACTCTCAGAGATTTCGAGTTATCCCGATCCGATTTTGTCCCGATCTTCGCGTCGTTTTACAGACATGCGACGTCCCGCTGCAAATTGCTCCACGCGCGGTCCCCACAAGTCCCGAGCGACCGGCTCTTCCTCCCGAGTCGTTCCCTGACGGCCCTGCGGCCCGGTGAGGGCCTCCAGGGGCCCCAAAAACGGCGACAAAAACCGTCGTCCTCAAAGTTTCACGGCGCCAACAGCTCGGGGGGTTCACACCGGGCTCCCATGCTCTGCTGCCGAAAAGACCAGGGGGGTGCACCCTGCGCCGAGTCGGACTTTGCCCTCCCAGGAGCTGCACCCTGCGGGAGCTGCACGGCACGGCGCGGCGCACGGCGCGGCGTACGGCGCGGCCAGAGGAGGAGCGATGAGCGAGCCCCGGTGGACGGCCGGAGGGCCTCCGAGAAGCCCCTCCCCCCCGCCTTGGACAAAGTCTCGGAGGCCCGACAGTGGGCACCAACACCAAGACAGGGGGCTGCCTCCATCAGGGGAAGATGATCCCAGATTTTGCGCTGGTGTTCATATTTCGGCCACCTTGGTAGCACGAATATTGCCACCATCACCGAAACCAGGATCATCTGCCCTCGGTGGAGGCACACCGCCGATATTGGTGTTGGTCTTAACCTCTAGACCCGCAATCTTTTCGACACGGGCGTTGTCGCTCCATCTCGGGCCCTGGGACCCTCACGGATCGATCCGGCTCGAAAAATGACGCAGAAAGATGGAGCCCGGGGCTGCGGTCGTGATTGTTTGCGATGTTGCAACTTTTTTGCAACTTCGGATATCAGGGAAGACGAAGCCAGCACGAGGATATCATCGGGTAAGGGTAAATCGAGAATCTCTGAGGTCTGGCGGCTCTGGAGGATGTCTCGGGCGCCGCGGCCTGGAACGGATTCATCCTCGTCCTTTCCCCGTCCGACAGTGGCCAACACACGTCGAAGGCACTTCCCCCTCGCCAAGTACTGGCCGGGGGGGAGGAGACGAGAAGAGGGATGGGGGAGGAGGGAGGGCAGCCCCCACCTCGGGGGTCCGGTGTGGGGGAGTGGGTCTGGTTCCAGCTGCCTTGGCGAGAGGGGGGCGGGTCTGATTCTGATGCCCGAAGTGTCTGGCGGGGGGGGGGTCTGCTTCGCTCTGTCTGGGAGGTTTTGGGAGGGTCTTCAGATTTTGCCACCAGTTGGCCCAGAGACGGTGTGCCTGTTTGAGAGGGGGGCCTACCCTGACTTCGGATCCGCCGTGCTCTGGCCGAATTTCGGAATCCAACTGCCAAGACTACATCCCAAGCGATGCGGCACGGAAAGAGAGCGGAAATCGCCGCCTCTGAAAAATAGGACGGAGATCACTATCCGCCAAGGTTGGCGGGAACGGCGACGGCAAAATAGGGCGGAAGTCGACATCAGAGGAGCTTGAGATCCGCCAAACTGCGGCGGGTCCGAAGTCGCGGTAAGGGGGCCGGAGCTGAACCCGAAGAGAATCTGCTGGAGGGGGTGTAGAGGCCCCCTAGATGGGGTCCGAGTAGATGGGGTCGGAGGATCTCGCCGCATCTCTCCCTCCTCCTCCTCCTCCTCCTCCTCCTCCTCCTCCTCCTCCTCCTCCTCCTCCTCCTCCTCCTCCCCTCCTCCCTCCTCCCTCCTCCCTCCTCCCTCCTCCTCCTCCCCTCCTCCTCCTCCCTCCTCCTCCTCCTCCTCCTCCTCCTCCTCCTCCTCCTCCTCCTCCTCCTCCTCCTCCTCCGCCTCCTCCTCCTCCTCCTCCTCCTCCTCCTCCTCCTCCTCCTCCTCCTCCTCCTCCTCCTCCTCCTCCTCCTCCTCCTCCTCCTCCTCCTCCTCCTCCCTCCTCCTCCTCCTCCTCCTCCTCCTCCTCCTCCTCCTCCTCCTCCTCCTCCTCCCTCCTCCCTCCTCCCTCCCTCTCCCCTCCTCCTCCTCCTCCCTCCTCCCTCCTCCCTCCTCCTCCTCCTCCTCCCTCCTCCCTCCTCCCCTCCCTCCTCCCTCCTCCTCCTCCCTGCTCCTGCTCCCCTCCTCCCTCCTCCCTCCTCCTCCTCCCTCCTCCCTCCTCCCTCCTCCCTCCTCCCTCCTCCCTCCTCCCTCCTCCTCCTCCCTCCTCCCTCCTCCTCCTCCTCCTCCCTCCTCCTCCTCCTCCTCCTCCTCTCCCTCCTCCCTCCTCCCTCCTCCCTCCTCCCTCCTCTCCCCTCCTCCTCCTCCTCCCTCCTCCTCCTCCTCCTCCTCGTCCTCCTCCTCCTTCCCACCTCAGGGGTCGAGGGTCCCCACCCCCAGCAGGGCGCCCGCGCGCGCGCGCGATCGGCCCCTGCGCTGCGGCGTCCGCCGCGCTGCCGTGCCCTGGGCTGCTCTCCGCGAGCGGCGCTGTGAGGCAGCGGACAGGACGCTTGGCAGGAGACGGCGTACGCCGTCCCCATCGTGGCATAGGAGGCTGCGCAGAGCGAGGGCCTCAGCACGACACCTGCTACGAGTTGAAGAGGCACGATCGCTCCTGGCAGGACATCACGGTTCGCAGCCGCCAGGATCGTGCATGGCAGGTCGTTCGACTAAGTCCAAGGATGCGGTTCAAGTGGAGCCTCGTTGGGCTTGTGCTGCTACTCGTCAATGCGGGTGCCAGAAGAACTTCGCCAGCAACAGTCGGTGCTATCAGTGCGGCAGGGACCGTGCAGGAAAACCAGACCCAGCTGGCCCTCCTGAGCGTCGACCTGGTCGCTCACCAGCTCCTCGGCGCGCAGGCAGCAGGCCGCGTGGAGGCAGCGGCACCATAAGGGAACGCTCCCATGCAGATGCTGAGCCTGAAGAGCAGACGTCTACAGATGCGGTATCACGGGCCCGAAAGGCCGTATCAGCGCTCAAGAGGCTCGGCATCGACGAGTCCTCCAGCCTCCTGGTGGCTGCCAAGCGGGAGTTACATGAGGCGGAGGAAGTGGAGCGTGCCAGTCGCACACCCGACGATCAGCTGCGCAGGGCACTTGACCGACAGCAGCAGAAGACGCGGGAGGTCGAGACCCTTACGGCGGCCGTGGCAGAGCTGGAGCAGGCATTCACCACCAAAGCTGCCGAGCTCAAGGTCGCCAAGGATGAGCTGGGCGCCATCACTTCAGAAGTTCAGGTTGCACGAGCTGCTGTACTGGCTACCTCGGGTACGGCGACTCCTGTCAGCACTGGAGCTGCATCACATGGTGAGATGGACGAGTCAATGGAGCGTCTTGGGCGGATTGTGCAGGCCGCAAGCAGTGTCACCGCTGGCAATGAGGCCACGTACATTGAGTCGCTCTCGAAGCAGTTCCATGAACTACGTGCAGCGTTTGCAAGACAACGGGCACCGCCATCCTCATCAGTGGCTACAGTGGCATACACAGTACCAGTACCAGGCACACCCACAGCATGGGACGCACAGATCCCCTCTGAAGATCGGGATATGGACCTGGGCCAGCGTGACGGCACGTGACGCTGATAGTGACATCGATTGCCTGGCGATCTCGGCACACAACGGCGTTGTCGAGCTCGCTAACACTATGCCGCGACAGCGCGCGGATGGAAGCATACTACCTTTGGGGCCGACTGGCCGCAGTCATCCTTATGACGGTTTGGGTTCACAGCGGTTCCCACAACCTGGAGCGCGAGCAGTTTTGCCTGCAACAGGGGCGCACAACGTTTGCTATCCCCATGCAGTTGCTCAGCTACCTCAGGGATGTGACAGTACCACAGTTTTGGCGGGTATCGACCTTGCGACGTGGGAAGCACGGATGCACTTGGGATCGATTGACAATGAGATCGAGGCAGGAGCGTCAATGCAAGACACTGCAGCCTGCAGCTCGAATGGGACGCAAAGGGAATCCTCAATCCCGTCTGTGAGCGTCGGCGCCAAGTCCGAACAGAAGCCTCTGGCTTCGCCTCCTCTGCGTGCCAGTGG